CAATTAATTAACGAATGCCTGATAAAATTGGACATTTCTACTAACATCGCTCTACGATCGAGTTTCTATCCAATATCAATTCCTCTAAAACCAGATTAAGGACACGCACAAACCGGAAGTTTTTCTTTGTTATTGCTTCTTGTCGCATAGCGGAATTCTGTGTAGGAATGAACTATAAATATTATGAGAATTCATGCGCATCGAAACCGTATAACACCAATATTGTTTTTCTTCCGGTTTATATTAAAATGCGAAAAGGACTGCAACGCATTAAATCGGAGTAGTTAGTTCTAAAACCGGCCGTTTAGCAATATTGCCAGCAGTTTTCTATGTAAGCTGGGTTTTCAGTCTTACCTTCGGGAGGCACGAGTCGGTTGAGACGGTGATTACAAGGGTTTAGAAATCAAAAAACGCATTTACAGTTTGTAGCGCATTTTTTAAAAATTAAAAAAATGTGCTATTGTTTGCGTTTTGTCCGTTCGTCCGGGTCCGGACCCACTTCTGCCGTTTCGAACTACTTCTAGGGGAATGGTCCTAGAGTCCTGGAATTTTTTGCAGTAAGTAACCTATACACCTATACCTTGAAGGTGTGCCAGACGGCCATCAAATTTCGCTGTCTAAAAGCCCCCCCCCCCCCCACGAATTATTTCAGGAGATGCTGTTTTTTAACTTTTACATACGGCAACCAATTGGTTTCAGATTTTGCATACAAATGCCTTTAGTAGTGCCAAGTTACACTTTAGCAAATGGGTGGGGTGGGAGGGGGTAAACACATGTTCTATCCTTCATGGTATTCTAATGAAAGGTCTCATCGAAATAAATTGGTTTGTACTAACTATAACTTTCCCGTGTCTCAAGGTCTCAATGAAAGGAATTAATTTCTACCAACCATAGCCGTCCTCCTCGACCTCTTATCGTAATCGGGTATATTCCCTTATACCTCAAGAACGGATTGTCGGAATAGGGTACTCACAAAGGGCGATTGAGGCGTCTGCAAGAAATATATCCATTGGTGACGTCAAAACAAAAGGTATTTCGGTTAAAAAAAATGCACTTTATCTGCACAAGAGTTGTGCACAATTTATACTTGTTTCTTACATCTGCATATTCACACTTCAACTTTGACGTTGTCGACTCTGCCCGTTTTTCTATTGTAAGGGTCCTTTCCAATTATTAGTTAATTCCGCAACGATTTTTTTGCTTCCCTACCCTCCACTTTCTCATTGTAGGTATCCTCTTTCGACATTTAGTTCTCGAGTTTGAAGCATCCGGCGGATGCACCAAATTCCTATATCCTCAATTTCCCCTTTTTTAATACCCTGTTACGATACTTCTCGAGATACATAGTGTTGACCGTATACTGTAATGACAGAGGTAGACTTTGTCCAAAACTTTAATTTTTCCTTTGTGAGTAATCCGACATTACGCTAAAGGGGTGGAGGTGGGGGTTGATGAAAAATGATTAGCTTCGTCGATACTTTTCATTAGAGTACCTACCTATCATGAAGATCAAAAGATTTACCTCCCCTGTTCCCTACGACATTTATTATGGGCGCGAGGCGACTATGCAGAATTTGATGTATTTTGATCGTCTGATGCATTTTTCAGCATTCCCTTCTAATAACTTTTTGCACAAATAGAAAGCATAATTAGTGAAAATGTGAAGACCAGGAAAAAAGCTTTATGGTCCACATTAGTCGATTGGTCTAAAAATATGTACCTAATTTGTATTAGAGTCGCTTGATAGGTAATAAACAGTACCTAAACTCATGTGCAAAGACATTTTCCAAAAAAAATGAACACCATATTGTCCGCACTTTGTCCCTTTGTCGATCCATCTGTACCACTACTAGTATTCCAGTTTAAGCTTTTTCGTTGTGGTTCTTTCTTATAGTACCTACCTGGTAAGTAGTAGTACATACCATGCGCGAGCAAATGAATTAATTTGGATTTGGATGTATATATATATATAACAGACGGCGATTTAAACGAGTACCTATAAATAAGTAGTGGTTTTCTTTCACCATATTATCGCGTACTCGACTTTGAACGAAAAACCCAAAAACACGATATACGGGTTTGTTAAAGTAATTGTATTTTGCTTTGTTGTTGGAGACGAATCAAGAAAACGTGACACGTTAGTGAACGTTTTGATAAGTTATCAATTCTAATTTTTGTGGTGCCCTTGAAAATTACTTACTTTGTAAGTGTTTATGATAGTCAAACTTGCTTAAGTAAGCATAATTTACCAACATACAATTCTTTCGCGAACATTTCAAGATTTAATATGAACGTGCGGTTGTTGCCTTCCAATTTACAGTCTTATGCAATTAAAGAATGTAAGGAAGATCCCAGTCGAGTTCCCGAGGACGTTGCTCACATAAGAGAATGGCTTACCAAACAACCTCATTTGAAAACCAGAACAGGTTAGTTACTAGTCCCTTAATTTCTTTTTGGCCATGAATGTTTTCTTGTATAGATTATGTTTAAGTGGAGTTTAGCCATTAGGCATTCATTATGTCATTTAAGTCAAGCAAACGATTTCCAATACAAATTCCTCATTTTTTATTTTCACAGACGATCAATGGATATTAAGATTTTTACGAGGATGCAAGTTTAGTTTAGATAAAACGAAGGAAAAACTAAACAACTTTTATACCCTTAGAAGTGCCCTTCCAGAATTTTTCGCTAACAGAGACCCATACCTACCAAAAATACAACAGATCCTTCAACTGGGGTAAGACCGATACCTTATCCAATAACTTGCTAAGAAAAATTTCAGAGCTATTTTACCCATTGACGTTCCGGAAGGACCGAAAGTACTTCTGCACAGAACTACCAATATTGATCCATCGCAAGTGTTGTTAATCGACGTAATTAAAGTATGGTCTATGATAGCGGATATTATGTTAAATGAAGACGATCATGGCGCAATTTATGGCTATCGTATTATCATAGATTTGGACACATTAAATGCAAATCATCTCTTACAAGCTACCCCTATTGTAACTAAAAAGGTAGTTGTGTGTTTGAAAAACGTTTACCCTTACCGTTTGAAAGGAGCCTATTTTATTAATATGCCTTCAATTTTTGAAAGTATATTAAATCTAGGAAAAGTTCTTGTGGGAAAAAAGCTCAGCAGTAGAGTAAGCAATGGGCAAAACGATTAATTTAAAGTCAACGCCCATATTTTTAGATAACTGTGATTTCGAAAGATAGTATACAATCTTTGTGCGAGCATGTTCCCATTTCGGCTCTTCCTGTGGAATATGGCGGTTGCGGTGAAACGCTTGAGGAACTTACAGGTTATACCTAGATGTGTTTGAACATTAATTAAAATTTGTGTTTTAGTAAAATGGAAGCACAAGGTAGAAAGCTACAAAGAGTGGTTTTTGGAAGAAGCAACTTGCGGTTGTGATGAAAGTAAGCGTATTTCTGAATCATACACACCATCGGACAGTTTTGGAATTAATGGGTCGTTTAGGAAATTAAATATTGATTGAATTTGTAGCATCGTTATCTGAATTAATAAACAAAAATTGTTTAATCTCCAAAGACGGGTGTGTATGTGTTTTCTAGATATTTTCTCCTTTACGTAAAGTAATTGAAGCCATATTCATCTTGTGAGTTTGAAATGCTGAAGTCATATAATAATTAGCGCATTTTTACCTGGATTTTTTGCAATAGGTAGCCTATACCGTGAAGACGTATTAAGGGCGGCCTTCCCCCACCAATTATTTCTGTTAATAGAGGGAGAGGGAGCGGACACGTTCGACCCTTGATGGTATTCTAATGAGAGGTATCATTGAAAAGAATTGCTTTCTACCAACTACAACTTTCTCCTGCGACTCTTTGTCGAGAGTGAGTGGTTACAGAGGGGAGGGGAGTTGAAAATTGGTTTTATCTTTCATTTTATTCCAATTAAAGGTCTCAGTGGAAAGTTTTCTACTTGTTCTTTATCGAAATCGGTAGGCGTGAGAGGGATAGGGACTAGTTTTATCCTTCATGGTATTCTATGGTAAGGTCTCAACGAAAGGTATTAATTTCTGCGAACCACAGTTTTACTCCTCAACTCTTTATCGAGAACAACCGAGTGCCGGAGGAGAATACTTACAAAGCGAGATTGGAACAATCAACTGTTATAGCTGTGGAGAACCGAGGATTACCCCTAGTAATTGCTCGAAATGCCATCCGGCACCTACTGCACACTGAGCCAGCGTCGAGGCATGGATAGGTAATTATCTAGTGCGTTTATTAAGCGTAAGGACGTGTTAAGGCGTAGTGAGGTTGTCATTTACTATGTATATGTAAAAGGGTATGGGGAAAAGTATAGGCAACGATAGTATGCAGTTCTCACGATTAGACGGGGATGGAGGTAAGTGCGGCAACGTGTACATTCCGCTGATGGTCGGATGCATGGTTTTGTACAGGTGACATCCGAAAAATGGCAAAATCTCCCACAAAGTATGTGCACGTTAATTCTCGCCCTATATGCAAATGATTATGTGGTTCCATATGGTGATGACATTACTATCTGATCGGTAAATCACAAAATATGAAGGCTTTACACTAATAAATGGAGCTCCCCAGGCTGAGAAGCGAGAGTGTCAATGCGCTTGTATCCCAAATACACGTATCCAAGATAAGGATGTCTATTATGGGGATCTTTGAAACCATAGAAGATACGACGGTGGTCAAATTTCCACAAAACCAGAAAATCCCGAAGAATATGCTAAAACAGACCAAAATTTGCCAATTTCCTTTTCATTTTTTCTGATGTTATTTGAACAGATACAAAATAATTGAAAAAAACTTTCTCATTGGCACGTTTGAGCTCTACAAGACACTGTGATATGATAATCCACCCTTATGGTTAGGCAACACACCTTCACATATGAAACAAAAATATGATATGTTCTGTATATAACCAATCGACCGTTTTGCGCAGATGTCGAATACTAGGGGATTTTCGTAACGAAACTAGGGGGAAAAAAGAGTGTGGCGGAAGAACGGGGTCGACGGAAGGCATCACGTGTTCCTGGTTTTTTATTCTTGATTATTTTGGTTGTGGTGGTTTGAAGGTGTAATTACAGGTAGTAACCATTTTATTCTTTCTTGTACTAACTATTAATCATTGAATTTCTTGGCACAATTTGATACTATTTACATTTTTCTGATTATACATAAACTGCGATATCTAAATATGGCGTACTCCAAGCTTTGTTTTTGAGTACCGTTATGGCTCAATGGTAGAGCGTTGAGTTATAAATCCGGAGGTCGGGTGTTCGAACCTGGGTTGAGGTGAATTTTTCATCTGTGGCAGAGATGGGAATTACCTTAGATCAGTTTCGAGCCTTCTGCCGGCTACTCCGAATTAGGTTTTCCTGCAGTTTTCCTAATTTGTAAGGTAAATACCGGAGTAGTATAGAACAACTTAAGACCTTCTGCAGAGACACCTCTAAAAAGCATTATGCGGGTCACTCTGTAATTGGGCGCAAGCCTGTTGAGGGCCCAGAACAAGAGAGGGAGAATAAATAGAATAAATAGATGAATCGCGTTTGTTATACTGTATAGGTGATTGTGCCATTATTTTGTTTTATTAAGTATTTATTTCTGTATTCACGAGGAGTTGATTATCACTGCGATGTTGCTCTGTTCAATTGATTTGTAACTATTCCGTAAGGGAAGCACCTAATACAGTTTGATATCTCACTTTCTTATTCGTGGCGCGCTGCAGTTCTTGTGCGTTAGCTACACAAAGGGGGGGGGTCTCTCTTATTTGATGTTTCGATATTTGTGTGTGTAAGTGGTTCAACGTCTTCGTGAAGCAGGTACCTAATACAGTTCGACCATTCGCTGTATCTGTTGCCTACTCGTCTCGTGCGGATTGCAGTTCTTGGCATCTTAGCAATGCGAGATATTTAGAGGCCCTCTCATTAATATTTCCTCTATTTAAAATATGTTCTGCTTGAGCAATAATCGATTTTCACATGATTACTTGCTATTGGCATTCTCACATGTAGTGTTCGTGTTAAATTAATTTATGTTAACTGAAGGCTGGAGTAAAGCCACACCATTTGCATGTTTCCTATGTACATGCAATTTATTATTTTACGAGTTGTGTTAGCTCACTTGATCGTACAGGTATTTTGATGTGTTTTTGTACTGAATTGATTTATCAGGTTTTCCATTGCATTTATGATCGTCGTGTATGTTTTGTTTTTAGGAATTTGTTTAAATGCATTTGATTTGATTATCTGATTTTTATCATACAATTTGAGATGTTTTATTTAGGCCCTTGGCTCACCAAACCTACACGATAACGATCCGATGCCGATACGATGCTGAAAAATATCATCTGCTTATCGTATCCAAATCGATCTCATGTTTTATATACACAATTCTCACACCAAAGATACATTCGGCCGATACGTCGTACGATTTTCGGCTGCCGACTCGACATGTCAGACGTCCAGACGATTTCAGTTACTGTTTGGGCAGTCTGCAGTTATGGCGCATCAAAAGGCTGAATGTGAATTTAACCTCAAACTTGTAGAAGCAGTCGAAAATTTTCCTTGCTTATATAATTATAAGCTGGCAGAATATGCTAGAAAAGATATCACTGAAAAAGCATGGACAGAAGTGGCAAAAGAAGTAAACGACACAGGTATGTACTGTTTTTTACCAATTTATTAATAACTTAGTACAAACAATGTGCGTAGTGTGTAGATATTCATTTATCGTTTACATAAAATCGTCAGTAATAAAAGTTTGTGAGAAACTTTTAATTAATCCTCGTTTACTCTGTAATTCCATTGCCATGGAAGAGCTACACGTGGTTGTAGAAAATATTGAGCTAAATAATTTCTCAAAGTATGTGCATTGGATCGGCCATCAATAGTAATCTGTTCGTCACCATTTGCATGGACGTTGGCTAATATTTCGTGAGGTTCTTGTTCTTCTTGTGGAAACTGTGTTGTTAAATATGCTCGTCCTTCTCTGTTACGAACATAATTATGAAGAATACATACTGCCCGAATTATGTTATTCACAGATTTTACTGCTTTACAACGAACAGAATTCAGCAACACTTGAAATTTTTGTGTCATCATGCCAAATGCACATTCAACGGTCTTACGACCTCGACTGAGTCTGTAATTGAATATTCTGCTCGTGTTATTCAGTGTTCGTTTTGGATAAGGTCTCATAAGATATTTTGAAAGTGGAAATGCTTCGTCACCAACAAAGTAATATGGAAAACTTTGTTGCAATTCATCATTTGGTAACAATCTTGGTTCCGGCAAATCTCGTCCTTGTTGTAGCCATTTGCCCATTCTTGACGCTCTAAAAATGCCGCCATCACAATTTCTACCAGCATACCCCGTTCTATCATAATAAAGTTACCATCAGCATCACTGCACGCCAGTAAAACGATAGAGTGAAACGATTTATAATTAAAATTTTCGGATCCGCTTCCAGGAATTTTCTGTATTCTAATATGCTTCCCGTCAATAGCTCCTAGGCAGTTTGGAAGATTCCACAACTGCTGATAGCGATCTGCTATTAATAGCCACTGATCTTTGTTCGGAATTGGCATATATTGTTCTTGTAAACTTGACCAAATAGCAGATGTAGTTTCTATTACAATACGTCCAATTGTATTATTTCCTCGAGCAAAATAAAATGCAAGAGCGCTGAACGTACATCCTGAGGCCAAATATCTGTAAAAATTTGTGTAACTATAAATGATTTGGTCAAGAGGTATATGCATGTTTTCTTTGTTTCTATTACAGTGAGCAAATGCAAGCAGAAATGGCAGAATGTAAGAACAGCTTTTGTGAGGAACTTGAAGTCACCTCCAAGTGGATCAGGTGCAAAATCCAAAAAACCGTATTATTTAGCAGAACATATGCAATTTGTGTTGCCATTTGTGAAACCCAACACACCTGACAGTGACACACAGGGCAATATACCATCAACTTCTGAACAACATAGTGAAGATGAAAGCGAAAGTATCGATGAAAGCACTGCAATTGCAGATAATACTGATGAAGCTGATGCCACGCAAGCTTCACAGGGTATTGGAAATGATGGAACACAAACGATTAACAGAAAAAAGTCCGCTAACACGGTAACAAACAAAAGAAAACCTGAATTGTCCGATGCTGATAGAGCGTTTGTAGAATTCTGCGATATTCGCAAAAAGAAAACTACCGATGCTGATCCAAATCAGATGTTTCTATTGAGCTTGCTTCCGGAGGTGAATGCAATGAATCCTCTACAGATGAGACGATTCAAACGAGAGGTTTTGAATTTAATTGACAATATTTTAGATGGAAAACCAGCATTCAGTAACCAATATTTTTTGAACAATACCACACCTTCATCCGCATCACCATATATTAGCGGCAACCAAAATTCCTTCCCAACAAGAAACGCATCCAATACTCCTTCACCTGCGCCATCTTCTTATTATAGTGAACATTCGTGGCCATCAAGAACCAGTACTCCTGCAACCGCAACGTCATCACCGAGGTCATCACT